CTGCATCCCACATCTTCCCAGGACCGTCCTTCACTGCATCCCACATCCACCTTCTCATAGAGGACCACCTTTCATCCTGGTCTTCTCACTGTTCCTCTGTCTCTCCAGCCCATAATCCATGTTGAGTCACCATGATATGTTGCCATCTTCAACCAAGCACACTGTTTTTCTGCTTCAGATCTTCCAGCAATTTCTCATTCTTGGGAGAATAATGGTGTCCTTCTCTGTGGAGGCCCAAAGGCCCTGCCTGTTTACTCACTCTCTTGTTACTGGGCCCATGGTCCATGCACTTTGGCCTCCTTTCAGTTGCTTAAAAATATTGTGTCTGACCATAAGGATGTGTCCTCATTGCCTGCTTCTCTCACTAACCCTCACCCAGGCAGCTCCTTCCCAGGGCTTGGCACAAGCCTTCCTCCCTTATCACTGGAGGTCACTAGACAACTGAAGATAATACCCAGACACTTGGCAAAGAGATACATTTCTAACAGACTGTAGCAGAGGGGAAAGCCGGCAGTGGAATACAGTAGGGAGGGCTACTAGAGGGAAAGTAGTGTACACGTGGCTGCAAGGATAGCTCAGTATCTTCAAAAGAGTCTGTGGCAAAATTTTGTCTATTCATCCAAAGAAACAGAAAGTCAGAAATAAAGTATGATAAATACAATAAAATTAATATAAAGGCCTGGAGAGACTGGGCAGGAATCTAGCCAAATCAGTGAGTCCCAGGTTCAGAGAGATCCAATCTCAAAACCGGCAAGGCTTCCAGTGGAGAGACTGGGACAGCAACCCAGCCACAAAACCTTCGACCTACAGTCTGTCCTGTCCGCAAGATGTGCTCGGGTAAAGGTGGCCCACAACTTGTGGGAGTAGCCAACCATGACTGGGCCCACCTGAGACCCACTCCACAGGAGAGAGCCCACCCCTGACACTGCCTGGACAGCCAGGAACAAGAGTCCTAAAACCAGAAAAATATGAAGAAGAAAGAGACACTCTGTGCTGATCTCTGGCTACTACATGCACGCACAAGCCACACACCTGTCTGCACACATATGTCCACATACAAACACATTCCACACAAAAACTACGTGTACGATGATACAAGCATATGATACCCACTAAAATAACAGCTGTATCAAATGTCAAGGCAAATCTTTTATCATAACCTAATAGCCAGAAGACATAAAGATACTGAATTTGCTCAAAGTAAAGAATCTTTAGCAAAGAAGCCCATGTAACTGTGTTACCTTCTAGTAAACGTTCCTCTCATTGTACCAAAGCAGTCATTCTGAGTAGAATACCAAAGTGTTAGTATTCTGGGGCATGCAGTGTTTATATGGCCTAAAAATAAGGTATTTAATATTAAAGTATTCTATAAGCCGAGGACGATATTACTACAAAGTCTAAAGAACAAGTCTTCTGCTTGAATGGGAGCTCTGAAGTGTAGCGTCTACATTTCTTTTTGCAAAAAAAAAAGAAAAAAATTGATTTTTTATTTATGTGCATATGTGAGTGTCAGCCATGTGTTCAGTGCCTACAAGGCCAGCAGAAGGCCCAGGATCCCTGAAACTGGAGTTACAGGTAGTCGTAAACCACTTGGCATGGGTGGTAGGAACTGAACTTGGGTCTTTTGGAAAAGGACCAAGCTCTCGTAGTCACTGAGCCATCTCAACAGCTCTATTTACATTGCAAATGTACGTAGCTGGCATGGATTTGGCCTTGCCTTCAAGTGTGATGCATATCACATACCCATGAAGTGTGTGGAGTCTTAGGACTAATTTTGCTTACCCTGGTAGCACAGGAGAGCATCTGTTTTTCCGGGTCAGTGAAGTTTGATAAAAATGTTACCCTGAAGTGATCTCACGCCTGAGTAGCACTGGCTGTGGAAGACTTGTTTCCCGGAAGGACTTAGAATGGTAGTTATTATTACTCTAAAGTGTAAGCGAGATAGCGTATGTGGTGTGCATGGGCTTCATTGAGATCCATTTTATCTGCCTCATTTGTAAGTTTAAAAATCAATTCAGCCCTTAAATTAGAGATAGAGCTAAGTGAACTTTCTTAGAACATTTCCGTTTTGTGAACAAGTCATCTCATGTTAACTTTGTGTTATTGTTGTTGTTGTTGTTATTGGGGTGGGGGATGTTCAGGAAAGATGGGAGAGAGAAAACAGGAGAATCACTTAGAGGTGCCAGGGCCGGCTAACCTGGCATGCACTGAAAAGTACTGACCTTACCTCAGAATAGTGGAAGGAGAGAACCGACCCAAAGTTGGCCTCTACATGGTCACTGTAGTATGTACATGCACGCATGTGCGCACCCCCCACATACAAATAAAGAATATGTAATCAGACCCTTCAGTCAAATCAGGACTCCTGATGCCACTACAGATAAATTTATGGTTTGCGTTTTAAGTAGAGGCACTGGTGTCTTCCTCTAGGATTAAGTCTCACACTGTTTTCTCCCCAAAGCCCGGGTCTCAGGTAGCCCACATTGCTCTCCCTTGCTCTATAGCTAAGGATGACCTTGAGATCCATATCCACTGACTTCTGTCCCATAAATCCCAGGCCTTCAGGCCTGTGCCTCTGTGCTTGGCAGGCCCAGTTGTTCAGTGTAATAGAGCACAAGACTAAATAACACACAAAAGCTGGGCGTGGCGGCACATAATTCCAAGGTGGGGAAGCTGAGGCAGGAGAATTGCTGAATTCAAGAGTAGGCTGGGCAAGGAAACAGAGCTCTTCTCCAGAAGGAAAAGGAGGAAAAAGAATGTGTGTGCATGGACACGGTGAAAGCGTGTGCCTGGAGAGACCTGCCCTCCTCCAGCGTTGGCCTCAGGTCGCAGAAGAAAAAGAAAAGCGGAAGAGACCATACTAGCTTTGGCTCTTGAACAGTTTCCCTAGTGTACATAATTCACGATGGTACCACAGTTAAGAGGGTTTTGTATGAGACATGGCATCTTTGTATTGATTGGCCCCTTTCTCAGTATCAGGCTATTTTTGCTTTAGTAGCTTAGCCTTTCAGCGGTCACTCCCAGAACCATTGACTAAAAACTGTTAAGAAAATGGATGAGGAAATGCTAATTACTAATGGGAATTTTAATTCCAGTCTTCCTTATTGGTAAACCTGTCTACTTTCTCCCTCCCTTTCTTTTATCTTTCTGTTTTTCTTGTTTTTTTTTTCTTTCTTCCTTTTCTTTTCTATTTTAGGACCTGGGGATCCCGAAAGTGGGTCACATGAAGCGAATTCTCCAGGGAATTAAGGAGCTCGAGAGGAACCCTCCCAACTTGCTCTGAGGTGTGGCTGCACCGGTGCTATTTCCTGGAAGAGAAGTCCTGGGGACTCAATACAGAGTTCTCGGAAACCACTGCTGTTCTCGTGATTTCCTGGTAGATACGCACCACCGAGGCACCTCTCTGGATTGGAGTTTTGCTGTGGGTGAAAGTTTGAGTTTGAGGTATTAGAAAATCATTTTTGTGCCAAAAACAAACAAGAAAACAGTCCAGCCCATTCCACGAAGCCATTTTCTTAGTGTGCAAAGCTGACAAGCTAGAAGATGCTTGCAGTAGGGAGAAGCGGGGGAATGGTTAGAGGCAGTTGCCTTGTCTGAAAGGTGGAGTTACATGCTCGCCGATCCTCCACTCTCCCTAGAGCAGGACTGGCAGGAGGCTCTTCTGCGCACCTGCAACTGTGTCAATAGTACGCAGCTGAAACTTCTCAGGCTTCCTCAGTGAAGGCATCGGCTCCCACCCAAACACCACTGGTTAGGAGATGAAGAGGGGAATTGTATTTTGAGTGTTTTCACCTTAAGTTCCCAGTAGCCACTGGTCAAAGAGTATGGTGAGACCAACCCATCACATACTATGAATGACGCGAATTTAGTGCACGATGCGCCTGCCTGAGTTGTCTTTCTTTTTCTTGCATGTCATGTATATTACCGTAGTACTTCAGTAGCTGTAATGTCTGTTATAATGGAATTTAATTTATTACCACCTGACTACTCAAGCACTTTTTGGATGGTTAAGGGCACTTTTCTTCAGTGTGGACTTTGGAGAAAATATTCCCACACCTAAGACTCTGTGAACGTTCATCTGTGCCGTGATCAACAAATGATGTACATCTTATGCAAACCAAATTGATTTGCCTCTCCCAAACCGTAGGTGTGTGCATTCAGAGAATTGTTGGGCGTTTTCATAAGCTTTACACATTTCTCTTGCCTAACAAAAACTTAAATTGCGACTTTCCAAACCCAGATCCTCAGGATTTGTTCCCATTTTTTTTTTCATTGCAGTTTGATTACCATTTTGAGTTTCCAAGTTTGAATTGGTAAAACTGTTGGCATAGAGAAGTTGTCCAAGGTCTCAGCTGAGATTTGCACCCTGAGTTGTCCAGACTAGCTGAAGCGATTACTGACATAAGGAAATTTAATGGAAGATTTTAATTTTGTTACTTAAGGGCTTTTTGTATTATTTTCTCACACACATTTTGATAGTCTATCAGGTAGATATTATTTTCCTTTAAAAAAAACATTATATGTCAATGTTGCTCAGTAAAATTACCAAGTATTTGAAAGCCAAAGGTATATATGTCAAAAAAAAGTTTAAAAAAATCTTTATAAGTGTTTTCTGGTCATTATATGCCAAAAATTAATTGGATTATTTGCAAGTTCTATATATAAGAGAAGCAAACAGGTTGCTGGTCCAGCGGAGACTGTTTTGATAAAGTAATTTGCTAGGTGCTAGTAGATAAACATGCCCACTCATGTGTACACATACATGCCCATATACCTTTACCTGGATATATACACTTACTTACATAGTGTCTTGAGATACAGTACCCCTGATATTTTCTAGACAAATTTTGCTCAATATCTGACATTTCATTTTTATTTCTAACTTGGGTATTTACTAGTTAAAAAAAATAACAAAATTTAGATACCTTAAATAGGGCAAAACCAAAAAAATCGTCAGACAATCTCAATGGGTTCCTGACGATATATTTTTTACCTAAGTTGTGCACAATGGAAATTTTCCAAAGATAATTCATATCAAGGCTTTTGAGCTGATAATAGGCCAGCCACTTAGTAATTTTAATGTTTTGTACACGGGTAAAGTTGAATGTGCCCTTTGCAGTCCCTTTGGTACCCCCTGGTGAGACCCCTACCAGCACTTCCTGTGAAACCAGATTATCGGAGGTCAGACTCACAGAACTCTCCCCAGATCATTGCTCAGGAGAAAGGGCTAGGGATGGGGCAGGGGCTCCAGCATAAAGAGTGCATTACTATAAGAATCCTTACTGAGTTTTCACCTTCCCCCAAATACATCTTTGTCAACAGAAAAAGCAATGTTCTATTGACTACTTCCCTAGGGACGGGCAGTGATGGGCTTTTCTTTTGTTTGATAATCTCTGCAGCTCCTGCCAACACCTTTTATGTGTTCTGTAACATCCCAGCTCATGGAGACTTAAAGTAGAATGGCTTTGGGATGATGGAAATCCTTTAATATGACAACTTGGACAAGCGGTTTGTTCCCATGTGAACGTTTTTCCTCTGTAATCCACGTCCGCAGGTATCAGGGCTGGACTGCAGTGAGTGCCGAGGCCTGTTCACCAGCAGTGTGCTCTCAGAGACCCCACCCGTCTCTGCTAGTGTCCTAAGGAAACCATCTCATCCTAAGTGGGGTTTCAAACACAGGACAGTGGGGATTGCCTCTCGCTAAGATCCGGTCACATCTGGGAATGTAGAGGACTGTGTCTTTGATCCTTCTTGAAGTAGAGAGAGACTAGATGCTCACCTGTGCTCCTGTCCGTAGCTTGTTCTTCTCTCCAAATTATTTAAGGTTCATTTGTTGCCCCCTCCCCCCACCCTCACCCCAAAGGAACGGAACAGAGTCAGGTTTAAGTAAAACTCCAGGTGACTCAGGTGACTCATCCCTGTCCACCCAAATTCTCACTGCCTTCTGCTCCCCTTTCTCCATTACCCAGTGAAACCTTTCACCTCCCTGGTTTCTTTTTTTTTTTTAATGTCATGGATCATTTAGCAAAATGTTGGGGCCAATTAAATAAATTTGCAGTTTGCTAGATAATTGAACTGAATTGATGGGTTAGGTCATTTAGAAACATTGCTATGGTTGAGGAGAGACAAGCTGTGGGTGTTCAGATCTGTGCTGTCTGGCATTTCAGCCACTGGATGCCTGTGGCTATTAAATTTGTTTATTCTTGCTAGAAACTTCATTTATTAATTGTACCACCCACATTTTGAGAGCCCTGTAACCACAGATGCAAAACATTTCCACCATTGCAAAAAATACTCCATTTGACAGTGGTGGACTAGGTCGCTGCTCCTCAAAATGTGGTCCATGGGTCATCAGCATTCATGTTATTTGGGAACTTACAAAAATTGCAGAATCCTGAAGCAGACAAGATGGTTCAGCAGGTCTAGCGACAAGGTTGATACCAGATGCCACGTAAAAGTGGGAAAAGAAAACGACTTAGAGACTTGTCCTCTGGCCTCAGTACACCCACCATAGCATGCTCACCCACATATGCCATCCATACACAATAATAAATAAAAGAATTTTTGAATGGAGAACCTCAGGTCCAGTCCAGATCTGCTGAACCCAGATCTTCCTTTAAGTCCTGTTTCTCCAGCCCTTAGAGACTTTCGGCTGCCGCCGATTCATCCACAGTTGTTCAGTTTGTTAGTCATGTGATAGGCTCAGTGGCTCATGACTTAATTCACACTGAACGTTCCAGAAGAATATGTACTGAGATAAAGATTAGGCAGTCTCCGTCAACTTGTACATTTTTATTTTCTTGTATCAGGAGATTATCCTGTTGATATAGTTCATGCTTGAAGGCACGAAGCAGCCCACACATATTAGATGAATCACTGGGTATGCAAAAGAACAAAAAAAAATAGAGTCAAAATGATCACAAGTGAATGCCATTTAAACTCTGAAAGCAGGCCTGTTTTGCTAGATTTGGGTCCCTTTGTCTTATGTCAACTCCTGGATTTTACATGGTTCTTGATCCCTTAAAAATAGTTCCTGAAAAACAGTGTGTTCTTGGCCTCCAAACTCAAATTGTTTAATTCTGTAATGAAATCTTTTCCCAGTGATCTATTGTCAGGAATCTGTCCCTTAATTATTTTTATATTTTGATACAAATTACCCAAACATAGCTTCCTAACTACTTTGATATATAAGATCTTACTCTTTTTGACTCCATGGGTTATTTTGACATGAATTGACAAGCTACAAATTGAAACGTATAGGTGGCCCCTCTGCATAGCCCGTGCAGAGTAAATCATTTACAATTCCAACTGAGATGGTGAACTTCCATTTTCCAAGGATGAATTCTTTGGGGGTATCAGTTTTGATTAGACTGTAAAATCATTTCCTTTTTTCACCTCTGAGTTCTCAGTGGACACATTCTCTGTGGTGTTAGGTTTTCAAACACCCACCTCTCCCCAGTACAGATATTGAGGGGAGAAAGGAATTAGAAATGAACCCTCCTCAGTGGCTTCCACAACTTGGCTGTTGGGCCTCCCCTTCTGCCACTGCCACACCCCAAGAGTCGTGACCCATCCCCTAGTTTGTTTTTGCTGTGGTATCCTCAGTTAACTTTTGTATCACAATCTCTGTCTTATTGGTACCTTAGCAACAGGATCCCTTCACAAAGATGTAACTAGAACTCTTAGAGAGTGATAGTTATTGTTGTTTTATAATAAGCAAAACCTTGTTTTTCTTTATTATTTTTATTTTACCAGGTTTTGTGTAGAGATGTTTATGTTAGAAGAAAATATGTAAAGATTTGTTGATATAGAAAACAGAGAGCTAAAGACAGCTGGACTGTACCTGCCTTTTTCTATACTTGTCTCTGTTATTTTCAGGTAAAGAAATTAAACAGAGTAGCTAAGACTGTATTAACTCAATAACCATCTTAAGATAGACTCCACATTATATATTATAGATGAAAAGCTTATTTCCTTTTGTGTAATTTAAGATATTGTATTTACATTATTTAATATACTCTTAATTTTTTTGCACTTCCAAGTTTTAGTTGGAAAATAAAAAGCGAGCCACAGCTTTAAACTTTTTTTTTAAATCCATGTAAAAATATTTCCTTTCAGCTACAAGTTACACATTGTGTAAGACTTTGTGACTAGTCTGGGTATTTCATACTATCTAGATTTCAAGAGTAAATTAGCCAGCAGAACACAGGGTTACTTATAAAATGCATTAAAATAAGGACATTTCATACTCAACTGATGCTCTCAAAGTAGGAAAACGCAATTGAATATGTAAGCAAACAAGGAAAGCGAATGTGGTTTATGACTCTTACTATTTGATTGCACTGTTGTTCCGCACAGCTTAGCCCTTTCCATATCTACATTCTGAGTATTCAACACATGTGCAGCCGAAGGCTGCTTACAGTGCTGGTTAGTGCTACCTGGTGATGCGGAAGACTTGGGTAGAATAGCACACCCAGTTTTGTGAGTTATATATCGTATACCGAAGATGACTAATACATTGGAGTAATATATTTATCTAGAGCTGGTAAATATGAAAATTATTTTCAAGCCTTCAAGGAAATTACATTGGCTTTTCTCTATCAACGAGATAAAAGTCACTTGTATGTTTAAATCTATTTGTACAACAGCTGTCTCCTTTATTGGTATTATTAATTTTCATATTACAATTTTTCTTACCTTTTTATACCAAAAGGATTCTCATGCTGGTTATTTAAACTTGCCGAGATGTATCTGAGTTTGCAAGCTTTTTAGCAGATAAAATATTTAATAACAAACAGATATAAAAGCTTTGTATATTTTGTGGCTTTAGGAGAAAGAACTGTACCTTTGAATTTCTCTCTGTGAGACGGTGCTGGCGTCAGCACCGTCCCTTGAAGGCAGTATTACCTAGAACCAGTTGTATAAATCAGTGCCCTTATTTATTCTGTTGTGAAATATACTCTTTATACAGAATGCGTATTTGAACTCCTTTTGTTTTACTGCTGTTGCCTGGAGTGTAATAGCTCTGTTAATGGTTGACTTATATACTTGAAATGCTCATTTCTGTCAAACAGATGCCCAGTGTTTTCCTTCCTAAAAACAAAACAGAAAAAAAATACCCAAAATACAAAATTCTATTTTCTTTCCTGTCTTAGGTAACTAACTGAACAGTCATAGAAACTTTTTTCTATAAAATGATTTTTATATCTAAAAAGTCACAAGGTAGAGAGAGCACGGGAATGAATAAGTAGTCCCGAGATCTGCTTTGCTATGTTTTGCCCCATGTATGTTATGCCTTCAATCTGTGACTCTTTCCTTCTGTGGATTTTTAGCTTTGTGGCAGGGACATTGTTTTTGATTGCACTGGCCAATTTCGACAAGCACTGAATCTTGAATCCTCCCAAAGATCTCAGACCTCTAATGTCTAAACCTCGGTTCCAAAGTCTATGCTTGGCATCTGTTTCTATGTGATTGTGGGCCACACTGCAAATGGTACCCATGGTGGGCACTGTTTGCTTACTTCTGTCAAGTAATCAGAAAGTTAAACTCAGTTTTTCCTGATTTTCATTTGGAGACATTCTTGACTCAACTATTTAAAAACCCAAACATTTAAAAGGCAGTTGCCCAGTATTGTTGTCAGGGAAGGAACAAAACTCCAACTGAACTTTGTAAAGCTAAGAAAACACTTTAACCCAACTGGTTTCTACTATGTGAACAGCAGGTGAGTTGGGAGTTATTTAAACCTCCTAGGAAATTAAGAATTAGTTTGCTTTTAATGACAAAGCTTTCTGTTATATTATTGTAGATGCATTTATTGAGGATAGAAAAAATGAGACTGTGTTAGAAGTGTCGCTGATCCAGGAACCTGGGGCAGTTTGGCCTGGCCTAGGAACAAAGAGTTTGAATGTATCTTTCATGTTGTATTTTGGAAGGACAGAACACGCATGAAATATAAGACCTGGTGGGCGCTGCACCTCAGAAAGCTCCAGCTCCATGGGTCAGGGCTGAAGTTCTTCCTAAAAGTTAGATAGTTAACTCTCCAGGAAGCCCATTTACTGCAAAACCCTAGGTCAGTTGAGGAGGAGGCGGTTTGGGTGACCTAATCCCTATGATGTTTAGAACAGCCCCTGCAGTTGTTTATTTCACGTGGTGGAGATGTCTGTGCTTTCTCAGATCAGCAGTAGGCAGCGAGGAAGTCACAGGGCCTCAGACGGTTCCTGTGAAGGCCGTGGTAAAGGTGACTCAGTCTATAACTTGAAGACCAAAGAAATTTTCATGAGTTAGCTGAGCCTTGAAATGTGTTAGTTCTGATACGTTTTCCTTAAGATCTGCTGTTTTTTATTTATAGTATTTATAGAGAACTCACCTCTTGGAACCTGAAGAGGTTCGTTCAGTTCAGAGCCTGTCATGGCTCATTGTGTCCTTACAACCAATATATTTGGATGTCTGGGGTTCCCCGTTTGAAGGGTTGCCCAACACAGCCAGTTACAAGTAATTAATCATTTTTCCACTCTAAGAAAGGACGGATATCAGCATGCGTTCTACCTTGATTTACCATTTCTTTCCCGGTGTCGTTTTAGTTATAAAGAAGGGCATCCCAGCTCTAACAGAGAAAGAAATCTAGTAACCCTTGACATTCCGTCTAGAAGTGGAAGTAAAGAGCCTGGGGCTCAGTGGGAGAGTGCTTGCTCTGCACGGTTGAAGCCTCAATGGGTTCAGTCCCAACATGGCCAAGAGCAGAAAGAACAAGATGCAGGTGAGGCTGAATGAGTAACCGGAGTAGGTCATGGGTCTTTTAATCTATATATTATTCATTTCGTCTAGAAACTCACTCCTGAACGCTTCAGTTAAGGCCATCTCAGGTTTTCTATGCTCATGTTAAATGGCTGTTTTATTGAGATAAATGTAGTTTTCAGCAAGGCTTTCATAAGACTTTCTTAGAGTAATTACCCCGAGGAAGAGGCACCTCATGAAAGCAGTCACTTAGAAGTGAAGCAACAGGATTCTTTGCCAGCCTTCCCCTGAAATATTACTTTCTTGATATTTAAGCTCCCTCCAGAGTGGCATCTTTGCTATAGAGCATGGCCTCGCCACTATATTCTCTGGCGTGGAATAGTATTCCGTTGTGCCGTGCACCTCCAAAAGCCATCCCTCAGCGAAACAGAAGCAGATGCTGACCGCTGACCTCATCATTACCACTGTGGGAATCCAGGAGAAAGTCATTAGCCATCAGACTGACAGCAGTTAGAGATGGGGGACGGAAAGCTGAGCTCATTTTCACATGACATTTGATCGTGTCACTAGCTGATTCTCCCTTTGATTTTATCCAGTCGATGAAGAAGCCATACTAGCTGATTTTTGCTCTGAAGAGTTCTTTGTCAAATCTGGCAGTGATTATAGCATAGCTTGCTAAGTCAGAGTCCCCCCACCCCCACCCCCCAGTGCTGGGATTCCAGGAAGGTGAACACTATTTGGCATCAGGAAAAAGACTAAATTGGAATTCATCTGCCTGCTTTTTGTTTGAGTTTATTTTTAAGATATCCCAGGCTGGCCTCAAACTCACTATGTAGCTCCAGATAGCCTCTAACTTGTAGTTCTGTCCCACACCTTCCCTATAGCATGTGGTGGTTATTTCTCTGTCACGGTAACGGCAACTTGACTTTCCCGGTGACAGCGCTCTAAATGATCCTTGTAGACTGATTTGGTACACTGACTGAGAGAAATGATTTGGCTGGGAGTTTGTTTCCCACGGTGACCTGCCATAGAGACCTGTCATAGAGATGTCCTTGCTGTAACTGACATTCAGGGCAGCCTCAGCACCTGCCCTGGATGTCAGCTGAGTGGCCCCAGTGTTCTGATGTGCAGACGAGCAAGGTCTCACAGCCCACTGTTCTTTTGTCCCCTCAACTTGAAAAGCCTTCAGAAGGATGATACTGTGTTTATGACAATGTTATGCAAATTGTGTGTTTCTGACAAGAATTTTGTAACAAAATCTGAAACAAAACAAATGCTTCATCCTAATGGAGGCTTTGGATTATGCAAGTGAATTATTTTATGGGTTGTTTTTGGTATTTATTGCAGCCATATATTTCTTTGTTGTTGTTGTTTTTTTTTTTTTACCATCCCACAAATTCACATGGCATCTTGAGTTCTGTCTCCTCATTTGCACTAAAGTAATAATAATTCCACTGCCTTGCCTCTCCTTTCACCGTTTTTCTTTCCTGTCCTTTTGCTGATTCTTCAGCAACCCAATTCCCTACTTGCGTTCTTTCTCCCCAGATTACAGAGACACAAATCTGCTCTGTCTTCTCTTGGCTAAAAGCCTCAAGTAGGCTTTTCTGTCCCTTAGCAGCGTGGATTAGAGACTCTAGGACTTTGCCTCAAGAACGACTGCACAGGGGGAAGGGGCTGGTGGGTGACTCCAGTGCTGCCTGTCCTGCCACCCTGTAGGCGTCCCCACCCTACGTTAACCTTTCTAGCGCAGGGATGTAGAACAGCTCCAGTGTGTGGGTTCGGTGCCTTGGCATAGCGGCACGCCACCGGTCAGCTCATCCAAGGAGCACTGCAGATCCAGTGATCTGAGAAGCACTGTTGGGTAGCCTCCCACCGCTGCTTTGCCCCAACCCCTCCAGCATAGTTTTGTTAGTTCGTTTTGGTTAATCCACCTCAGTGATAGCTTGACTTTCGGGCCAGTATGTCATCCATGCTTCATGTATAGTCAATGTTTTTCTGTTACTGTCATATTCAGTCACACACACACACACACAGAGAGAGAGAGAGAGAGAGAGAGAGAGAGAGAGAGAGAGAGAGAGATAGCGCCGTAGTCCCAGAGTCTAACTAGTACATAATAAGACTTTTTGGCTAATGTTTTTTAATTATTTTTTTATGCAGTCACAAATAAAAACTCAGAACTCCTTGAAAGTCTTGTGTTTGCGAGGACACATGCCCTCTGAGCAGACAGAGCGTCAGCAGGCATAAGTCATTGTTTTGTCAAGGATCATCATTTGTTAATTTCGTGTCTTTACGTCAGAAGTGTTTACCAGATCCGAATCCTTGTTTCTGAAAGTGGAACATAAATTTCGGCATCACTGCCAAAAGTTCGCTTGAGTTCATACACTTGCCCTACAGACTGTCTTTCTATTCTGTAGACTCAATACTTAGAATCTTCATAGACAAATACATATTGATTATGAGACTTGGAAAAGAATAAAAACAATAGTAAAAGTGAAATTTTTAAAACAGCATCCACTCAAGAAGGCATAGGTGAAAATCATATGATTTCAGGCCATTTACTCTTAATCATTATTGTATGACAAATGTAGGAAGCTCTGTGGTTGTCACTGCCCTTAGAAAGCTTGGAGACTAAAATATTTGCTGTTACCCATGGGCCTGTTTTCCCTATGATTGGCTGAAGCCAATCTTCCATGTCCTTAGGTAATGACAAGTTGGCACAGCACTCTTTAAGTTAAATTGCTTGAATGGACACTGGTGCACACAATAAAAGTGGAGCTCTCTCTTCTAGTCACTGGTAAACTTTCCCTACCTGCTCTACCTTGGGCACTCACTTAGATCCTAACGGTGGAAAACTAAGACGTGACCTCTGTCTGGTAGAGTTTAAATTTGTTCTCAAGGTGCTCTTCCTGAAGTCTGTTTAAAGAAATGAGTCGGATTTCTTAAAAATTTTCTCAGGCTATTTCAGTCTCACCCCACCGTCCTCCAGAATTAACCAAATCTACACCATCAAGAAGCAATCCCATTTTTCTTTCCACAATCGCTAGATTTTCATGTTGGGTGTAGTTCCTGCCATCACTGATCAAAGGTGTGCTTCTTTAACCCTATACTTCGCTGCTTCTGCTCCTACAGGGCCTGTGCTGAGCCCCAGTGTCTGCTGTATAGAACCAGGGTAAATCTAGGCTTTCTTCTAGGAAGGCAGAAATCCATGACATTTATAGCAAAATACATGAGGTGGTGACATTTGTAAACCCACAGGCTAAGATGGAGGTCTCACAGCCATGCTTCCTAGGAGATGAGAAAGCTTTGTTTGAAGCTACAGGTTGGTGTTAGCACCTTAGATAGGAAGAGCAAGAAGCAATAGCATTTAACAGGTAGCATATGTACTTCAGCATATAGTAGTATCCTGGTATTTGTATGTCCCAAGGTTCCGATATGTGGATGAAACACAGCAGGTGTTTGTGTTATGGCATTGTCTTCTAAATATTTACTGATGGATAGGCTATAAGTTTCCTTTAGTAGAATGAAGAAATAAATTGTCTTTATCTTTCCTATCAGTGAGATTTTGGGGGGGGGTGTCTTTGCTGGTTTGTATTTTCACATTTCAATAAGTATATATTGAAGTCATGATTTTCTGTCATATAAAATATCAACCATTTCTATGTCCCTTAGCAAAAGAAAAGCCTCAACTTGATAATTTTTTTGCTTAGTTCAACTTTGTAAACGCTCCACAAAAGGAGGGGGCAAGGAAGGCTGGGCACTGTGGCCTTGTACCCAGCACAATCATTTCACTTCCAATAAGGATAATCAGAACATGTTTTCCCCTTGTTACCATCACAGTGAAAGCCAAACAGCACAGCTGCTTCTCCTCCTTCTATTGCAAAGTAGTTTTAATTTGGCCTTGCCATATTTATAGCTAAGAATTTACTACATTTTGGTAGTCTGTTTTGAAACTAAATACTTGTATCTGAAAGACGCAGATAAAGTCTGCCTATTTCTTACACAGTGGGCTCTGTTTGCTCCAGAAAAGAGTGAAACTTTTACCTGCTTAGCACTCTTGCCATTGAGATATACCTGACAGAGCAGAGGTTATAACTTTGGCTCTAATTACTTTTAATAATGATAAGACGTGACTTTTGTTTGTTTACATGCTGTTTACAATGGCATAATTTTTAAAATCTATATGACAATTGAGATATTTATTGCATACTATTTTAAAGATGTTTTAATGTGTTTTCACCTTTGGAATATATTGTTACATTTCCTTGTACAGATAATTCGGGTGGCTTTGTTAATGTAGCTAATAATTTTTATGACTACTAAGTGACCAGTTTCGGTGCCTTCTATCGTGGGATGCATGACTATGTATTTATTGTAAGGAAGTCACTGATGTGTGTATTTTTGTACTTTGCTGAGAGTAATGGTTGATGTACATGATGAGAGATGTCTTTCCCAAAAGGCACTGCCTTCAGAGTGACCTTCTCAAATAAAAAAGACTGCGTTTGAAGGTGTGAGGCCTGCACTCTTTCTGGAGGGGAGGCGTTGAGATCATTGGAAGAAAAGTACAAAGGGGTCCTTCATACCTTTAACTGCCACACCCACATACACACATCCATGTTGAAAAACAGACAAAGTCTAGACGGTATCAAAACCAGGATACTGCTACTGATATGGTCAAGTTGCTCAACAGTTGAGTCACCCCAAGGACCCACTACAAGGCTTCTTGTTGCTCATTTATAAACACAGCTACTTCCCTTCTGCCTTCTTCACCCACCTCTCAACTCCAGCAACTACTAATCTATCTTCATTTAAAACCTTTTATTGTTTCAAGAAGGTTATATTAGTAGAATTATATACTTCATGACTTTATGTGACTTTTATCCCCAGAATATATCCAAATCAATATACATACCAGTGTGGATTTTTGGGGTTGTTTAATTTTTGAATTTTAATTTTTGATTATTGATTTGAATAGTCCATGTGGTAGAGTTACTAATGTTAAAAGCACAATTTTGTTTGCCCCTATAGAAATAAGCCCTGAAGTTCACCACAAAATCTTTGTTGAGTTCACAGTGTGGGGCTTGGAGAGATGACTTAGTGATTAAGAGCACTGACTTCTCTTCCAGAGGACCCAGGTTCAGTCTCCAGTACCCACATGGCAGCTCACACCTATAACTCCAGTTCTAGGGGATCTGACAAAGTCACACAGACACATATGCAGGTAATATGCCAATCATATGACATATGGCCTGGACATGGAAATGACCAATAGATGAATGAGGAGGATGAACTCAAGGAGTCTGGGTCAGTGTCATGTGGGTTTAAAGTGACTATTGGGTGTTGACAGCAGCCGTAAAATTGGAGAGAGTTACTGACAGAAATACAGACCTGAAGGCCAACTCTTGTGAGCTAAAGTCATAAGAGAGAGTGTAGTTCTCCTAAAAGACCTTTGTGAACACAGGAATCCCACAGCGTTAGACCCAGAGGAGAGGGCGCTGTCCTGATTATTCTGACAGTACCAGAGGAAGAAGTTAGAAAATGGAGCCATCTGCCTCGGCCTGAATGAGAAGCCACACTGTTTGGACGTTGGCAACAGTAGCATGGCGGACACTAGCCCTTCCTGCTGCTGCCCTGCCTCTCCCAGGCTCCTATAGGTAGAAAGGGAAAGCAGGTGGCAGGGCAGAGATGCTGTTTGCAGAGCCTCATGCCCAGGACCTCAGAGCAGTGACTTACAAGGCGTGTTTATAGCTGAGAGGCTGGAAAAGTTCCATGTTTGCCAGTAAGTCTAATAGCACACCTACCCTTAGAATAATCCAATCTCCACCCCATGCAGAGGGTGGAGGAGAGATTGCGCCCAGGAGTAATAGTTGAGGGAATGGAGGTTTCAGAGCTTAGAACACAGGCTGTAGGGTGGCTGAGAGTGGGGTAAAATCAGGGGAGGTAAAGTTGAATGGAAGAGCTGGTTCAAATATGGAATTGCCGTGGTAAGTTGGCTGGCAGATGAGACACAGGAACACTGATGTCTAAAGGTGTGAGATGTCGTAAAAATAAGATTTCCTAGGAGGCAGGGATTCAAAAACTGGCTGGCAACGACTTGTCTGTTCTAGTTTGCTTTATGATGCCGTCATAAAACACTGACCAAAAACAAGATGGGGAAGAAAGAAATTATGTCGTCCCCTTCCAGGTTACAATCTATCACTGGAGGAAGTCAGGGCAGGAACCATGGGAGAAAGGGCTCACTGACTTTTCAGTTACTTCCTTATACTACCCAGGCCCACCTGCCTAGGAATGGTTCTGTCCACAGTGGACTGGGCCCTCCTACATCAATTAGCAATCAAGAAAATGTGTCACAGACATGCCCACAAGCCAACAGGACGGGATGATTCTTCAATTGAGATTTTCTCCTCCCAGGAGTGCCCAAGTTATAACCAAGATTAGCCATTACCCTGCCCATGGGAATATGGGAAAGAGAACTGTTTTGTCTCTACATCCAAATGTGTGGAACAGTGCTCGACCCATGAAGCACATGTTTATTAGCTGAATAAATTGGAAATGATTACGTCAAATCAGTGGACTGGTTTATAAACATAGGTACCTTTCATTTCTACATATGATCATATATAAATACAAGATAGGTATCCTAACTGCATTTGGAAATAGTTGAACCAGAACTTAAACTCCAAAAGAGTGGTCTAGTTATCTCTTTAAAAATAAATCACAATTAGCCTGGGCTTCTATCTACATGAGGATCCCATGGCGTTGTCTGATTCTGATAGACTTTCTAAATCATTACATCAGATCACTTCCAAATGCAAATTATATTGTCTTACAGACGAATCCGATCTGTTTGTGTGGCTCTGTGTCTTGGGTAATCATCACATCCAGTTCCTGCTTTCAGAAGCTAATGGCTTCCATGATCAGCAAATTGGGATTTTTCCCCAGGAAATCTAAGTATAGCTGATATTCCTGTTGAGAAAATCAAGAGCCATTCAGATGCTTTAGGATCTTTGCCCTCTGTGCTCTGGTCCTGGTGTTTGTTTCCCTCGGTGCCACCACTGCTATGTTCACAAAATCTGATGATGGCGGCATGCAAGAATGAGAGGCTACAACAGCGGCAACAAAACAAGAGACCAGTGTCATCCTAGCAGAGTGACGTGGTTTCAGTTATGACCTTTGTCTACAGTGAGTCCTCATAACACCGTGCGTTTAGTGCTTAGCCCCGTTTGAGCGTCCTCTCATCATGGTGTTAGTGCTTGTTTAGCAATGACATTTTGAATACAAGTGAGCACCGGGTCACTGTCCTTTGGGAGAGGGACACTAAGAGGTAGAAACCAGCTCTAAGAACCAGTCAAGTAGACCATATCCTCTGCGTGGCTCCATTCCTGACACGGTTCCCTATCCTACTCAAATCCCTTCTGCCACCAAACAGTGTCACTAAGCAAGGTCATGAGTGAGAGAGATCACTTACCTCCTCTTGTAATTTTTTTTTGAACTTTGTGTTACTTTGATTATTACTCAGGGCAAAAATTAAAATTCTGGGCTGGAGAGATGGCTCAGGCAGTGTGGTGGTTTGAAAGAAAATGGTCCTCAAAGGGAATGGGGGCCATTAGGAGGTGTGGCCTTGTTGGAGTAGGTACAGTCTCACTGGAGGAAGTGTGTCACTGTGGAGGTGGGTTCTGAGATCTGCTGTATGCTCAAGGCATTCCCTGTGCCTCAGACCATTTTCTGTTGCCTGTGAGTCAAGAGGTAAGAAGTCTCAGCTCCTTCTCTAGCCCATGTCTGCCTGTGTGCTGCCTTGCTTCCTGCCATGATGATAGTGGATTAAACCGCTGAACTATAAGTGAGCCACCCCAATTAAATGTTTACCTTTATAAGAGTTACTGTGGCCATGGTATCTCTTCACAGCAATAGAAACCCTAAGTAAAATAGTCAGTATGGTACATGAGGACCCGTGTTTAATCCTCAGAACCTCACACTAAAGACACCAGATGTAAGGGTACATGTTTCTAATTCAGCACTGAGAGGTAGAGACAGGAGGATCCCGGGGTGGGGGGCAGGTGTTACTGGCCAGACAGTCTAACTTAATTGTGAGGCAGGCCTAGTTCAAATGAGAGGTCCTGCCTCAAAAAACCAGGTGGGTAGCTGGGGAACAAAAGCCAATGTTGACTTCTGGCCTCCATATGCACGTGTCCATGCACACATTATATGTGTATCTATATTTACATGCACATACACCATACATGTAGGCAGAGACTGCTTGTTCATTCCCAGCTGTGGCGTACTGGTAAGGATCCTGCGGGCATCTTTCTCTTTCGGCAGCTACATGGCGTCTCTTTGACTCCACCTATTTTCTGTATCTGTATATTCAGATATTCTGTATATTCAGATTTCCTGCCTGGCTTTACTAAGCCATGAGTCAAAACAGCTTCTTTAACAACCAATGATAATAAAGCATATTCACCGCATACAGAGAGGAATCCTATATCACCATACACACAGAGAAAAATAGAATGGAAATGAAGGCACCGTGCCTGAAAATAAGTGCTGTTTTGTTGAACATCAACATTAAGCCTAAAAGTACATATTGCTTATATGTATGTATATAAAATTATTTGGGATGTTGATGCTGGAGGATCACAAGTTTGAGGCCTCATTTGGCTACAGAGTGAGTTCAAAACCAACCTGAGTAACTTAGACCTTATCTCAAAAAAATGTGAAAAGAGGAAAAAAAAGGAAATAGGGTGCTTGCTTGGTGTGCACAGAACTGAAGACATAGTCCTCAGTAGTGTGAAAAGAAAAAAATTATTAACAACCTGGGACGTACAAACTGAAGAGTCTGAGCAAAGTACAGTCCCATTAGCAATATTAGTGAGAAATCTGAAAGTTGACATAGCTCATCTTGGAATGTTTTCATAATTGATTAAAGGACAGAAGCCAATGCCCCTTCACCGACAATCAGAATATTAAGGATTTCAAGGATAAAATGTATAAAAGCTCATTACTCCAGAATGACAAATCTTCAGCTGACAAAACCCACGAATACGTAACACTCTCATTAGCTTAATTATGATTTGATGAGCTGTGCAGTTCCAACTGGAAATCAGATTGTTGAAGACTATCCGCTGGGTTGAAAGTGATTACAACGGCTGACAAATGCGTCTAACATTTCTGCCTGAAGCATTCTTGGTTTTAAAAGTACACTTTGGTTCTGTTATCACGGCGATACAAATTCTCTTCAGACAGACTTCATATAGAATCCAGTGTATCGAGATACAGTGGGTGAAAATGGGATCAAAGACAAAAACAAAGCCCAAGATTGTTTGCGAATTCCTTTTATTCCTATTCATATTTATTTGTCAATCTCTGATAGCTTTAGTTACAGTGTTTTATAGATTAACTAATTTTATTGTTTCGCTTTGTATACTGCATCAAATAAAAAAAAGGAAACATGTAAGACTTCCTCCTCCTGATCTGTTTCTTGTTCTTCCCTCGCCACTACACACAGGT